TAACCTCTAAACTCAAATTCCAGCATTCGGCGTTCGTGTCGAGCCTGACAACCGCCCATGCACGTTTTTCTCTGGCATGGTGGAAAGGGAACCCAGTGCAACACCTACGGCGAAGTGGGGTTTTTCTCTAGCGTGATGGGGACAAATATAAAACTGCGCATTTCAAATAGGTGCCCGTAGACCCATGTATGCCTTTCTCTGGCGTGGTGGGATTGCAGATTTTTTGCCATGGTGTCATTCGACACTGCACATGCATGTTTTTCTCTAGCATGACGGGAGGCCCAGACTCCTGTAGTTTTCCTCTAAACAGGGGAGACGTCGGGAGGCTGCTGAAAATTCCGGTGGACATAGGACTTCATTTGGATTTGATTTAGACTCAAATGACAATTAATAGGGGACCTAAAACTAAAAAAAATGGATCTAATTTGAACAAAATTGAACAATTACAAGAGACTTGAAACCAAATATCAATGAGCTTAATTTGAATATGGTGGATAATAGACTTGAACAAGACTTGAACAGCAAGAGACTTGGACTCAATTTGGACAACAAGGGACTAAATGAACTTGAGCATGATACAAGGAACATTGACATGGGATAAATAATGACGGATTGGACTCAAATGGACATTGAATAAATCACACTAACTTGAACTTGAACTTCATTTGAACTTAATCTAAATCGTAGTGGACTAAACTTTAATTTGAACAAAATGCAAAAGACTTTGAGCAAGAATTTGAATGTGCACCGTGGACTCAAAATGAACTCAAGGAATTTGAAGTTCGAGCCTAAACCAAGTAACATTAAATTGAACTCAAGATTGAATAAAATAACGAGTTTGAACATGAATTAGATTTGGCAAGAGCTTGAACCAAAAGACGAACATTTAAGCATGAAATTCATGAGTTGTAAAAATCAGGAAAGCAAAGGAAGTTGCATGACTAAAGATCTATGTGCAAATGAACTATAAACCTTGACATAAAACTCCTTTTTGGACAATGGCATCCAACTTGTATTGATTATCACAATTGAGGTAAAGGCATTGACAAATGTGACATCAAATTCTTCATATATCTTGCAAACCATCTTTCAGAATAAAGAGTTTACAAGTAGAATTTGTTCACGAAATAACAAGAATATAGTGGGAGATGTTGCTTGATCACAGAGTCATGATAAGAACACTTTGGAGCACAATAGTTAACTCATGATATCAAATTTGGTTCATCCCTAAGAAACAATTGATACGGATCACGAGACTTGTGGCGGCCTATCTATAAGATATAGTGCAAAAGTCTTTAATGAATGATATAGGTGATTCATAAAAGACATGATATAAGTCTCCAATCCTCAATTGACCAGGGCACCAATACTATCATTCATGCCATGAACCAAGTGGAAATGCAATGAAAAGTTATATTGCACGTAAAGAATTGTTTGGAGGAGGAAATAAAAAATATACAACCAACATGTGTATGAAAAGTATATCACGCCTACAATCAAATGAAAGAAGCCACCATGAAGGGGAACTTTATTGTCACCAACGACAATCGACGGGTAGATTAAGCATCAATTTGATGATACTCAGCTACATATGAATGTACTGAGTCTTTACAAGTGAGAACAGTAAATGCAAACATGCACCACCCATTTGCAAATAGTTATATAAAGAGCATCGTAAAAAATAGTGGATATTCTCTGTAATCAACCATCACCCAGCATGAAGAAAACACACTGATACCTATACGGATAAAGGAAAAATATATTATGACACCTCCGCAGTCAATAATTATCCAACAGTGGTCAAATACACCCGCCATTCTAATTACATCAAGGGCTACAACAATCATTTTAGGAATGAATATCTCACATATTTCTCCTACACATTCTGATTTGTCTTCAATCGCTATAGCGTCCGCTCGAGGCAGGTGACCACTTATTTTGAAGTGTTGGGCATCAATGAAGACGCAATCACCCAAGGTTGAAATGATTGATTCTTTATTTAAGCCAATAATATACAATGATGAGGATGGCACAATTAGTGAGTTTCATACTGATTCCTATATGAGTTCTAGGGAGAGAAAGCTAGATCAAATCATTATTTTCAAAGATAGAGTAAGTGAGCCTCAGTTCAACTAGATTCTAAACATTCAGTTGGATAAGATTATTGGGGCTTGCAAATTTCTTGATGAACAGTGTTCGTGCATCTATTATACCACCCACGGGCAAATACAAAAAGGCCACGACAAACACAAACTTCTATAAATTATCATAGAAGATCCGTCAAATGTCCAAAATGCCCCAATACATGCACTGTAATATGTATGCACATATGTACGCAAAAGGAGCATGTGCAATTGCACACCCGCATGGGCCCGATGTGCGTGTTGTAGGAACACACAGGATGTCTAGGGATGTTGTGCGGGTCAATAAATTTAAACTCAATCCTCATAAACAAGTAAATAGGAGTCGACAAGATTCAACAAATAATTATAAAATGCCCCCAAATAATCGCATGGGCCCCAACGAGCGTGTTTGTTGCAGGAAAACGTGTGATGTCTAGGGATGCTGTGCAGGTCAATAAATTTGAACTCGATCCTCATAAGCAAGTAAATAGGAGTCGACAAGGTTCAACAAAATAATATAAAACACCCCCAAATATACGCATGGGCCCCCACGAGCCTGATTAAGATACACACATGAAATCTAGGGATGTTGCACGGATCAATAAATGACGTAGTTCAAGTCTGATCCTTCTATATTAATAGATAGAATTTGACACAGCTTGTAACATCAAATAGATATACGGTTAAGGTGTCGACCAAAATATATATTTTATACATTCATATAAGGCCTTCAAGATCTATGATAAAAGAAATTTATCAACAAAATTTTAAACTTATAAGGAACCCGATCATTTGTCGATAGCTCGACAGAGTCGACAAAGTCGTCAAGATTTAATCCACAAATGGAAGTGACCCTATACACCGCGATGATGGTCGTGTTGAACGTAGATCTCAATCGAATGGGTTAATTCCAAACATTTAAATGTCTTCTAAATTTCACCCAAATACACACCAAAATTCAAAATTTTCAAAATTTCAAAAATCATCTAAATCCAAAATATTTAAAATTGAAACCCATAAATTCACTTAAAGTAAAACCCATCCACCTTCTACAACAGTTTGCCATGGTGGAAAAATTAAATTTTACTTCAGCTCACATAGAGCTAATACCTAATCGAAAATATCACTATCATCAATTCTCAAATAATCTCCTGCCAGTAAGGACGTGATACGTGTCTTTTGACAAGCGATTTTGCCGATAAATGGCACGGCAAGATAAACGGTTATGATCCGGGGCCCTCTGAACCAAGTGATTTTGCTGCCAAATGTCACCTCTAAATTATGATTATGACCAGAGCTAATATGTTCTTTAGTGGCATCAAATCTTTGAGATATGAATTAATAGGATATAATCGATAGGGCACAAAGCCCTTTGTTAGCTAAGGTGGATTCAAATTTGTCCCCTTATATAAACATCCACCCCAAATCTATAAGGTACCCTTGGACGAAGTAACCCATGGCTGCCGACAAGGATTCTTCTATCAGGTTGGGCCGACTACCTTCTCTAACTAAGTAAACTAGGGACCACGATGGCCTAGGACGACGGAACCATGGGATCTTGATCGGCTATATCATCCATTCCCCACCATACACTTTACGTGCTAGATGGTGGAATTTTCATTTTAAATATCTATTCTCAAACCATACCTAAGCCCATGCTGCTCCTATATGCCAGATAACACGTATATTCTATGCATCTGATTGACGACTAACTTTAATCAAAAGTTCTCTCTCGTTATCGGGAGGGGTAATAAACTATTAGGGCTTGCACCTATAGGAAACAAGAACTTAGATCATAAAGCCCTCGCAAAATGAGGGTGAAATCTTTGGGTAGTGACTTATCTACAATCTCATCTGCCTTTCCAAAATTTACTCCAGAACTTAATCCCGTTAAAACACCCACGAAGAAAGCAGCGGGGGAGACCGGGACCAATTTTTGGAGCCCACAGGTTGATAAAATTTTCTTTGGTCGGTAGAACATAAAGTTTTAGCCCTCAAACTTGTTTTGGTCTTTCCATGCTCTCTATGCTCAAATATAAAAATTAAAAACAAAAAAAAAAAAAAAAACTTTAAAACCAACTCTTACTATTATAATAAAAATTTAAATAAAAATCAAATAAAGATAAAAGAAAAAAACATAACAAATATCACAAATACAATACATAATTTTACATAATTCAATGTGATCCAACAAAAACCACGATTACTTAGAGATCAAATAATCTACTAAGTGTTAAATAGGCTATATGAAGAATTTATACTTCATGCAAAGTTGTATGTTGATGACTGAAAAAGAATTCAACTACCTACTGCGGGAAATGAGACCAAACAGGAGGTTCTCCTCTTGCCAAAATTAAAATTATAAATACTTCTGTTTTAAAGAAGCTCAAGACCTCATCCTACAAGACCGAAAAACTCCTCCTTTCCCAAATAATAGCACCTCTCCCTTATTTCTCTTTCTTCTCTTTAATTGGTTCTTTTTGCAGAATACTAAACCCTCCTAAGTCTTTATTTATAGTAGTAACAAGTCATGCATTTAAAGACAGAGAATTAATTATAATATTTTACAAGGTCTTCTAAAGTCAATAAAAGAACTCTTCCCATAAAATATTTAAACGTATCATTAAAAAGCTTAATCCAATATTTATATAAAAAAGAGATCTGAAGCATATTTTATAAGGATTAGATGAATGAAAATTTTTAACTCCATAATCTTATTAGGTATATGCATATAATAAGTATGAAGGAATAGCAAGTATGAATGCTTTGTTTATGTTTGAAGTAGCATAAGGGCCAAGCAACAATATTTACATAAATCAAGATTAAAATGGTCATATACCAAGCAGAATACAAAGGTTACCATCAAAGAGCGAATACCTCTATGTTGCCAACTTCCTCCATAGGTTGTCTATGGTTTTCATTTTGAAAGCTTAAAAAATCTCCTCCGTGTCGTTTATTTAAATAGGCAGAAGCTGGTGTTCTAGCCTTTAATGCTGGCGGATCAGTTGGGATAATAGTTTGAAAGTGCTCTGACTGTCCCTCTGTCTTTGCCAATGCTGCTTTAAGACTACCCACCTGTCAAAAAAGAAATTAACTGTTTGTTTATTTTTGAGATTGCAACATGGAAAAAAAAAAAAATCAAATTAGAGACAGAACCTGCTCCTTAAGTTCCCTTCCTTCTAAACTTTCTTTATTTAAGCGGGCAGCACCAAGCTCAACCGTAGAAACTCTTTCAGCAAATTTAAGGGTGCTGATGGTTTCTCCTATGGCATCCATTTCAGGGCTTATATGGACAAACATCAAAGTTTTAGCTTGTCCTCCTACATTTCATCAGGTAATGACGCTATTACTAATAGTTTTCTATAAAAAATAATTTTCCTAAATTGAATTTGGTAAACTACAGAGTCTTACCAAGAGAGTCTTGAAGCAACTGCGTAAGTTTGCTATTTCTGTAAGGTACATGAGAATGATTCTGTGCTAGGGCATATATCACATCACCCAAGGCCGAAAGGGATTTATTTATATGTTGTGCTTCTTTTAGCCTCTCTCCCGTTGCCTCAGACTTATCAACTCTTTCACTACCTGCAAGATCTACTAGATTCATGCATCCACGGAGAATAGTTCCTGACGTCAAGTCCCTTCCTTGAACATGGACGGTGAGGCAACTGCAAATAATCAATCAATATCAAGTACTAAAAAACTTATTTACTTGGTTAATGTGAGATAATATGACACTAACAGACCTGTGAGAACGGCTACTACGATCATTCAATGCTGTTGCACCAACAGCACGATTCCTCATCCCAATGTTCATGAGTTCGATTACACCAGCCGTTGAAGTGACTGAGACCAAGTTAGCATCAGGTACATTTACACCATTTTGTGTTCCGTTTCTAATTTCTAATGTTTTAATTGTCAAGGACATTTAACAAACTTCACAAGAAACATGACTTCAATTTTAATAAATTATCCATGAATGGGCCAACTAAAAGGATATCTTCGATTGAGACCATCACAAACGAGGAGATCTCGCACTTGTTCATTATAAATTTCAATCATTTGCACAGCAATATTATATGTGAATGTGCCTCTTCTCTTTTCTGCTAGGTTGAACAGATCACTCAATGCTCTGTAATTTACGCCCATGTTCTGTGTGTTGACTACTTTGGCTCCACTCTGCATTCAAGAGAGTAAACATTGTTTAGCTTCCAAGTGCATCTTTATTAGACAAATTATAGATTTAAACATAAGAGTTTAAAATAACAAGACAGTGTTAATCTATAAATTCTTACCATCGTGTAAGTTTTTCCAGACCCAGTCTGGCCATAAGCAAATATGCAAACATTGTAACCATCAAGGACAGATCGTATCAAAGGTTGAGTATCTGAGAAGACTTCCTCTGAAACATCAAGTAAAATTAGAGCTGCGCCCAGCAAGACAAAAGTTCATGACAAAAAAAGGAGTGAAAGCACAAGAGTATAATGACCTTGTGAAGCAGCAGGACCGAACACCTTATTAAAAGTAAAAGTTCTCTGCCCTTCTTTTCCATATTTAGCAGGGGTGATGATTGTAATGTTTTCATCATCAATGCATCCAACATTGCTACTTCTTATTTGCCCGGGCAAAAATGGTCTGACTCGACAATACACCCGAATACTTCCTAAATTGTCCAAAAATTTAGCACGGAGAATTCTTTCTTCAATAGTATTTGTCAAAACTATCTAGTTTATAATGCTACCTTTAAGATCTTGCACCTGATTGTAAAGCTTCCTATTTTCTGCAAGAACTTTGTGATAGCCTGACGCAGCATTAGCAAGACTGTGCATATGTTTCCCTGTTTTGTGGTAAGAATGACATGTGATGATAGAAAAGCATCTATAAAAGGAATAACTGATTCGTTACTTTTGTATGTATCATACCAACAACATGGATCTCTTCCAAGTACTTCATTTGCATGAACTCCATACCAGCTCTTGCAGTTTGAAGATCACGTCTAAGGAGCTGCATATTGCATTGACCATTAGCAGGTACAAAGCTAAACTAAGTATAACCGACTAAGAAAAAGTTAGTCGCATTTGGTGTTACCTGAATATCTCTTTGTTGTCGGTCAATTATAGAGTACTGCTTCAAAAGCTGTTCTTTTGATGCCTCTTCATGTTTCATATTGTTGTGGAAGTTCTCCTTCAACCTTGTGCATTTAACCACTTCTTTCTCTTTCTTCAATAGTATAATTAAAACATCATGATTCATGAACATATTAGTTCATTTGAAAAGACAGGGAACCAAATAGGTAACTAGACAACCTAAACCCTACTGTAAAATTAATATTTATCGCAAATTTAAGCAAATAATAAAAGTATAAAAGCATAGCATACTTTAAATTCGGAAATAGCAGAAGATTGGTCAGCAGGAATCTTCATTTTAGAGAAAGATTTACCATCATCTTGCAAACCCTTTATAGCTGTTTTCACCTGTTATGCACATAGTTAGCAAAATTTCAAAGGAATCGTTGCTGCTAATGAACCCAAATCACAACATAGACAACATATCATTCAAAACAAGATAAAACAAGAATGATCATCATGAAGGACAAAAAAAAAAAGAAAAAGTATGCAAAGAGTTTCATGATATTTTGTATGCATATAAGATAAAACTATCCAACTCGAGCCTTACTAGGTATTAGAAAACATTTCTAGTATTCTTACAAATTGAACATTTGCTTGTTGAGTAGAAGAGCAAAAAACATACCAACTCATTTTGGCTTGCAATGCGACGCCCAAACTCTTTCATAAATTTGCTTAACATAGACTCCACAAGCTGATAAATAATATAATAAGTTCATCTTGTCAATAAGGTAGAAGCCACCAATAGGTAATAATAGTATTGGCACAAACTGTATTACCGCTGGAACTTCTTCAGGCTTCTTGTCTGAAAGAATTGCATGGACAAGCACATTCAAAGACGGAGATGGCTGAAAATTAGGGCAAACAGTTAGGATAATGCACTAGAAATAATATACTAGCAAGTCATAAAATTAGCATTACAACCATTTCACTGGATTCTACTTGATTTAAGTTTTGTTCAGAGCTTTCTCGATCATCCATAAACTGGGACCTTGCCAAAGAATTTGAGAAAGGATCGAAGTTCTTCCTCATGAAAGCTTTTCCAGATATGGACGGCTTAGCATTCCCACCAAATTTCCAGGAACCACCACCGCCCATTTGTCTCCATTCACTGTAGGATTTAAGAGCCAAAACGCAATTCACAATTCTTGAGCTTTTCCCTCCCTGAAAAGTTATCAGGCAAAATTTCATTGATTTAATTACACAACATGGAACTAACTTAAGCAGAAGTTATAAAAGTTACATTGTATTGAAAACAAACACACTATTAAAGCTCATTCTAAGTCTCAAGTGCAACAACAAAACCAACATGAACCAAATTCAGATATATGTTCATCAACCAAATGATCAGAGAGATTCAGAGTGTCATGATTTTCTTCATTTAGTTTTCAGCAGCGTAGAAAACTTCCCTAAGTGATTATATCACAAGTAAACAACAGAATCTGGTTATTCTATGGAAAAATTAAATTAAATTGTATTACAAACGTGAATTTTCAAAGTAGGTAGACCAATATATATATATAAGAGCTGCAAACAGACCTGCTCTAAATCTGATACTTCAAATGTAGGTAGACCAATATCCTGGACAGCAACAAGGAAATTCCTCACATTTTCAAAGTACTGGTAAGCTGACAAGGGAGCTCCATCGGGCATAACCACTGAATCTCCTGAACTCGCAACAATCTACAAGAATGGATCCAAGAAGGTAACCGAATTTGGGAAACTACAATAGCATCCTAATAATATTATCAAGAGGGCGAGCAAAAATTAAGAAAAAAATACTCATAAATAAGAACGAGAAAGAAAAGGATATTTCTGGGGCAATTACCTTAGGGACTGCTGCAGGTTGGATCTTGTTAAGTGCATTGCAAAGGATCAAACCACTCCTCAACCCAAGCCTGAATTCCTCTTCTGAAGGCTCCTCTGGCAAATCCTTCGCACCAACCACCCCCACCGTTTTCCTAAGCCACCTGGCTACCTCATATCGTCTAGCGGCTGTACTTTTTATTTAGAAAAGTTAGGAGAGAAAAAAAAAAAACCGATGATCTAACAGAAAATACTTCTTTAGATAAGAATTCTAAGAATTACTGAATCAATAATAAGTTATACTCATCTTCATTCTACGGATTAAATTATATAGCAATAGAATAATTTAAGTTAACAAGTCCATGAGGAACAAAATCTCCACTCCAAGAGAATGACCAAACCAATTAAATTTGAAATGAAATTAAACCAGTTAGTTAGATCAAATCCATTATATCATTGCTTCACCAAAACGACGTGCATCAGACAATCAAAACAGTGTTCAATCCTCTTAGCTATATCTATTAACTTCTTAGCATTGAGCAGTCATTCTGATCTCATCAGCCAAGGTAAATTGATATGCTCAAGCAAACAACACTATTATTCACAATATCATCTGTCATTAGATAGAGAAATGTACTTATCTTAAAAAAAGTACATAACCAGATTTGTATCAAATAATAAACTGTAAAAGGAAACAAAAGCTCACTAACTCGTGAATCTACCGATAAGAGGAAAAATACGATTAAAGAGAAATTTGCGCTCACCAGCCTCCTCGGCCTTCCTCGATGCCAAATCCATGTCGCTGAGCCTCTTCCCGTGCTCTTTCAGCACGTCCTCCAGAACCGAAGCAACTGATATAGAGAAGAATCCCTCCGATGCCATCGAAAATCGGAATCACCCACCAATCTAAAGATCGAAAACACCAAAACTCTGGCGATTAAGCTTATAAAAATGACCCTCACTTTGTCATTCTGCACCGCACACAATCAGAGAGAAATAGAGAGAGGCGAAGGGCCTTTTGGTGTGGCCGTGGAATTCCAAAGGAGACGAAATGCTTCGACTCCCTTTGATCAGACGAAACCGTAAGAAAAAGAGAAGAAGTGAGAGAAAGTTAAAGTCTCGCAGGCCGGCCCCTCCACTCCCTCCAAAGCTAATCCGAGCCTCGTGGGAAGTGGAGCACAGCAACAGAGAGAAAATTTAAATCTGCGGAGCATTTCATTAAAAAAATTAAAAAATGCTGGTGGAAACCTTCCGTACCAGTTCCGAACTGCTGGATTCTCAACATAACCGTTGTGAACAGTCTAATGAGTGATCCGTGGTGTTTTAAACTTATACTATTATAAAGGAGGCATGATTTATAATAAAAGTATTATTATACTTAAAATTTTATATTGATATGTTATTAGAAAAAAAATCTACTTAAATAAGAAATTTATATAAATTTCTTAAATTTTATACCACAATTATTCAAATAAAAGTATGGGTGAAAATTTTATTTCATTGTATGAGAAATAAGAGGAACTTTGAATTTCATGTGCTACAATATCAAGCTTTTATTCCTCAACGTGGGTCGGCTACGTGAATCTTTTTTTCTTTGGGTCATATTAAGAGTTAAATTCTAATTTAAATATAATTAAATTATCATGTCTAATACTTTTTAATAAATTCTATTTAGGTTTATCTCTACATTTCTTAAGATAGGTTGGATCTAGTACATCTACTCTTAAAATCAGGTCATCGAAAGGTCGGCATTTTATGCAACCAAATCATCTAAGGTGACTCTCTCTGATCTTATATGCCGTAGAGCTACTCCGACTTTTTCACTTATATACGTGTTTCTCATTTTATCTTTAAGTGTAAAATTATTCATCACCTGAGCATCCTCATCTCAACAACACTTAACTTAATCTTATGCTTCTCTTTTAATGGTCAACATTTTGCATCACAAGGTATTACAGGCCTCACCGCCATATTATAAAACTTCCCCTTAAGTTTGAGGAGTGCTTTTCTATCACACAATAGGCCCAATGTATTCTCTACTTTAATTATCAAAGTTTAATTCTATTAATATTATCCTTATATATTTCACCATCGATTTGAACAATAGACCCCATATATCTAAAATGTACAATCTTTTTTAATAACTCTATCACCAAATTGTACAATTCAACTAGAATTTCATATTCATGTAGTCTAAATGAGCATCTCGATGCGAATAATCACGTGAACCCAATATAACTCAATTTTTAAGTTTGTAACATGCTTGATATGTCACCAAAAATCATTTTGATCATGCATGAATCATGAGGCATATTCAAGTTGAAAACTTCCAAAAATAAATTTGGAACCATATGAACTCCAATTTTAACAAATTAATATTCAAACTGAATCTCGAAGAGACAAACCCAATGACACCAAAATCGGTCCAATTCGAACCTAAATGAGTTCAAAACAGGGGCATGAAGCTTATTCGAAAGGTTCAAAGCATATATTGGATGGACAAACGATATCCAAATATGACATGCTTATAATCGAATTGAGCGGCTTAGCAAGAAAAATCCAACGAGCCCAAGATCGTTGAATTCTGACATCATTAAGGCGCCTAAACACTTGGAAAAAAAGCTCTATAATCGAAGGAATAAATACGGGCCATAGATGAAGCACTACGAACCTACCTCAGATCTGCTTTATATTTAAGGGATATGTTACTCATAGAAATCAATAAATAAACACCCACTCTTTACATGAAGCGGGACCTTTGGCTATAAATTGGAGAAAGCTCTAAAGCTTCAAGAGCACCAGCACCATTACTGGTGAACCTCAATCGATCATCGCTGAACCACCGGTCGACCACCACCGAACTTCCACTTAGCCACCAACCACCGTTGTACTTCCACTTAACCATCGTCAGACCACTGCAAGGCTATCGAACACTATCGGACTTCCACTTGAGCATCGTTAGAGTATTTCCTAGCCGCCAACAATTGTCGGACTTCCTCTGAACCATCTTTGGACCACTACACGACCACTAACCACTCCCAGACTTCCACTTGGATACTGACCGCCGCTAGACTTCCACCCGTGGCCAACCATTATTGGTCCTTATCAATCTACCCAGTATTTTCCCTCCGACCACTAACACTTACCATCTATGGTCCTTTCAACCACCATCGCTTTTCAATATCGATCCCTCCGACCACCATCGCCAACCGACTACGGTCCCTCCAACCATCATCGTCAGCTGACTATGGTCTCTCTGACCTCCATCATCCGTCGACTAGAGTCCCTCCGACCTTCATCACCTGTCAACTACATTCCCTACGACCTCCATCGCTTGCCGACTACGATCCCTCCGACCTTCCTCGCCCACCAACTACAATCACTCTAACCTTCATCACTCCCCCAACTTCAGTCACATAGACCTCCATCACCCACAAATTACGATCCCTCTAACCAGTATCACCCTCTGAATATGATCCCTTTGACCTCCATCACCAGCTGACTACAATCACTTCAACCTCTATCGGCCACCTACTATGATCCCTCCGACCTCCATCATCCACCAACTAAAGTCCCTCCGACCATCATTTTCCATCAACTATTGTCCCTCCGACCATCATGGCCCACCAATTGCGGTCCATCCAGCCTTTGTAATTAGGTAAATATGGTCTATCCAGTCTCCATCTCTGTTGACAATTATCCGTTCGACCACCATTTCCCATTGACTATAGTCCCTCTGACCTTCATCGCATGTAGACTATGGTCCCTCCAACCTTTGTCATCCTGCCAACCAAATGAATAGTCCATCTTTCTCTCGAGAATGGTTCCCTTTTCATTGGATTCTTCTAACCCTTATGCTCTATATGATATAATGAGCCATAGCCTTTCCCTCGAGGAAGGACATCATTTGTAATCGACTACAAATATTAATGAAATCATTTCAACTAGGCCAATTCCTATGTTTTTTATCCTTTTTAGGGTTTTCTATGTAAAAATAGTGGTGTCTCTTATAACTCTTGCAGACCTCTTTTTATTTATATATGTGATGGATTATCATTTGAAGTTAAGACATTAAGCTCTTTATCTCTCTATCGCAATGAATGTTCCAATATGCAACATTTTGGCATCCTCTATGGGAATATTATTCCTGGCTAGGAAGCAACCTTTGCTACAACTTCAAAAGGTCATTCATATTAATATCATTGGCATGGTTGAAGCATGGTAGTCTCCTTATCATGATATGTTATTATGTTCAAAAGAAATCCTTAAATATTAAGGGCAATCTCAAAGGGAAGAAAATATGCATTATCTTCAATCAACTATCAGCTATCATTACATCAATTGTGTTGGAAATAAATCCTGGATGCGGGAAAACTTTTACTTTAACCTCAAAGGTCATTCATGTCAACATCTTGGGCATAGGTAAAGTAAGATAGCCCCTTTACCATGACCTAATATAAAGTCCAAAGGATTCATTCAATATTAAGAGCAACTCCATCATAACAGTGAGCAGACATTATTCTATCACATTTTAACCATCAACCAATGTTGCATCAATTTTAGGAAAGAAGATTTTGAGTAGGGGAAACATTGATTATAATTTTTGATATGGTTATAATCATGCAAGACATTTCAACATTTTAATTGTCCAAAATAATCTTATTATCAATTATCTATTATGAAGCTTATTGAGCTTTAAATAAATCCCATTCTCTATTCCCCATTAAAACTTCTACTCCTTGGGCAAGGTTATAGTCTAGGCCTCAAAAAGGTAATAACAATCTAAAGATAGACCTTTCTTCACCTTCAATTCGGGATGCACGCAGTATTCACCCCCTCCTAATCAAGGCATAATCAATCATAGAGGGTTTAATTTGACCTCTTTCATTCAATTTAATGTCATTGACCAATTCTTTGACAAATAACCTTAGATAGATCAAACATCTTTGGTAGATTCCTTTGATCTCTTCTACGAATGTCAACACCATCAAGCAATACTTTGTCAAACAATCTTGGATAGGTCAAATATCCTTGGTAGATTCTCTCTACCTCTTCCACATAAATTAACATCATCAAGCAATACTTTGGCATATAACCTCAGATAAGTCAAACATCTTATATAAATCTCTCTCAACATCTTCACATAGGTTAACATCTTCTAGTAATGCTCTAATAAATAATCTATGCTAAGTTAAATATCCTCAGTGAAATTTCTTAATGTCCTCCATACAAGTTAGCATCATTGAGTAGCCCTGTAACAAATATTCAGAAAAAAATTAGAGCCATTAAAAACCTTTGCTCGTTAAGCATTACTAGTTTGCTGATAGATTACTTCCATCTATGCACCACCTGATTACCTTTATCAAGCCATTCATAGTCCTCCCCCACCAGTATGGATGCATACTATTTTTAATAGTATGCAACAAAACCACCGCCAGCATCAGCCCTTCGCCTGATGTCCGCTGTCGATATTTAGAGACTTGCCAAATACTTTTTCCCCAATAGGAGTGAACTGGAGCCTGTGTTAGAGTATCAATTATTGATCTTCATCAATGCCTATATTTAGACTCTTTATGTACAATCTTTCCCATAATGGTAGTGAACTGAAACATGTGTAAGAGTACAGAGTCTTGTTTTCTACTACACCACTGATATTTAGACTCTTGCGGGATAGTTTTTCTCCTAATGGGAGTAAAGTAGAGCTGCATAAGAGTATTGGATCTTGATCATCATCATCGTTGATATTTAGACTCTTGTCGAATAATTTTTTTCCCAACGGGACTGAACTAAAGCCTGTGTAAGAGTACCAAGACTTGATCACCATCATCGCCAGTATTTAGACTCTTACCAAATAATTTTTCCCCCACTTGGATTGAATTGGAGACTACATAAGAGTACTGGGTCTTGATCATCACTTTCATCATATTTAAACTCTTGTCGGACACTTTTTCCCCCAAATGAGACTGAACTGGTGTTCATGGCAGCCGTTGCTAAAAATCTCAAATTAAGGGTTTAATTTGACCTCTAGTTCACTACTTTTTGATGTTTCGGATTCAATTTATACTTTCATAGCTTAAAAAAGCCCATATGATTAGTTTTGAGCTATTTGGATGTTTTGGAGTAAGGTTTTTGATATTTTTTACTCTGATGAATGCTATGACTTTACAAAAATACTTAAAT